TTCCTTCCGAGGAGTGGCTGGTGGGTTTGAACCTCCAGCCTTCTGGTTAGCAGTCAAGTGCTTTAGCCACTATGCTACCAGAGCTTCCAGCAGAGCAGCTGGTGGGTTTAAACTACCAACCTTTTGTTAGCAGCCAAACTTAACCACTGAGCTACCACAGCTCCTCCCTTTTTGGGATTAGCAAACTAAACTCAAGGAGCTAGAATACAGCTTGGATTAGGCTAGGTCATAGATTTGCTGAATCTTTGTATAGAACATCTCTAATGATACCGTTGATTGCATCTAAAGGGGTCTTTCTTTATTTAGGGGGAGTTCTTAAATCAACCCAAAACTTAGGTGCTTGCATTTTTGACTAGTTAATGTGTGCTTCTTCTTCTTCTTCTTCTTCTTTTTTTTTTTTTTGTATTTTATATATTATTTAAAATTGCAAAGCAGTTTATATAGGATCTTGAGTTTTTAGACCTCAGTGAACCTTTGGAGTACACCTAGGTTTGTTTTTTTTTTAAAGAACTTCCCCATAGGGTTTCTAAGACTGTAATCTTTTTTTTTTTTTTTTCATTGCAATTTGGGTGAAAGTTTACAGAGCATATTTACTTTCCATACAGAGCTCACATCCACTGTGTCTTATGACATTGACTACAATTTCCCACAATGCAACTACTCCCCTCCCACTTCCTCCCCATAGTTACCTCTTCCCTGTGTCCTTCCCTCCCATGCACTCCTACCCCCTGAACTGTCTCCCTGACATACACAGCCTTTCTATTCTCCCATGATTGATCTCTCCAGGAGTGTATCTACCTAATGTAAATGTTCAGTTCATATACTGTCTTTTGTTTGGCTGGAAGCCACAGGAGTAGGTTCAGTTCCAGACCTGAAGGGCAGCTAGGGGCCATCGTCTCAGTGGTTCCATCAGGCTCCATCAGACCAGCAAAACTGGTCCTTTTTTTTTTTTTTTTTTTTTTTAAGATTTTGAGTTTTGTTCCACATTGTTCTCCCACTCTATCTAGGATCTCCTACAGAGATCCCCCTCCAAGTGGTTGACAGTGGTAGTCAGACACCATCTAGTTCTTCTGGTCTTATAGTCATATAGGCTGAGGATCACTACCAGTCACTTGGATTAATTGTTTCCATGAGTCTTTATTTTTCTTCGTTCTTCTTTGCTCTGGATGAGGAGAGACCCATCGTTGCGTCTAGATGACCGCTCACAAGCTTTTAAGATCCCAGTTGCTACTCACCAAAGTAGGATGTAGAGAACAATGTTTTGGGTAGTATGTTATGTCAGTTGAGCCTGATGTATGTCCCCGATTATGGTCCCGAGCCCACAGGTCCAACTATTTGCTCCCTCTGGGTAGCTGACTGTGGCCAACAAGTGCCCTTGTCCCTTGTCAGCTCTTCCATATACCTGGGTATTCTTAAAGAACATACAAATACGCTTGCAGAAACATTATCTGCCAACCCTATACATGGTCTTGGGCACAGCCCCCTCTGCATAGACATACCTAGTTCAGCCTGTGCACCCATCTATTCACCTGTATATCAATGGTTGCCTTCACTGACAACACAGTACTACTGTATGTATGAAAGGGGTCATCTTTGATGTCTGTGTACACCTAGTTTTGACCTCTAACTTTGTAAATGAGGAATTGAGGTCCATAGAGGAGACATACTTTGCCTAAGAATATAACTCATTACAGTTGACACAAAATGAGTACTTGGAGAATGTTGAATGAATAAATGGATATTGAATGAGTTGACGGTAGAGCCGTGAGTAGAAAGCACATCTCTTGACTCATTGCCTGATGTTTTTCTCTCCACATGCCACTCTGTCAGTATATGAAGATACTGATAACTGGACTCTAGAAGTCCAAGACCAAGAGAAAACAAACAGATAAATAACCCAAATTGCTGTTCTAACATTGTATTTGGAATATTTACAGCTGAAGGCAGGTACAATCTTTATACGCCGGATGGCAAATATATCTTCAAGGAAAGAGAATCATTTGATGGCCGGAACATTTTAAAGGTCAGTATGAAGCAGATTGAATTGGAAAATTTCCTTTGGCGTATGCCCTGAATAAGGGAGAAAAACAAGTCATCCTCCTCCTGACAACACAGTATATTTCCCATGAGTATTATTGATTGAAAGAGCTGTTAATTTTTTTTTTTTTTAAATGTTCAAAAAGTAAAGAGAAATCCTCTTGACTCTATTGATGCTATGGCACTCTAGAGTACTTGAAATTGATGATTTAAGAGACAATTAGGGATCCCAATTACTCAGATCCTTAGGAATAAGGCGATTTTAATCTGGTGAGTTTGATTTTGCACTTTATTTACCTCTAGAAGGTTGAGTTTGCATTTTTCTCAAGTGGAAATAAATTGTTTTGTTCTAGTAGATTTTTCTTTTCACCCACAAAGTCACCCTCTAAAGTTGCTTTATATAATCTATTTTTACTCAAGAACAGCTGATGTCCTAAATAGTAGGTGGCCTGTTTCTGACTGTGGAGCTTGGCTTTTCTGAATGTTGAATTTTTCTAGATTGTATTTATCTTTCCCCTACAGACCACATTCTGTAATATCCAAAAATTATGCCTTTTTTTATCAGGTTAACATGCCATTGTGCCCATGGGCAAAAAGAAACAAGTTGATATCATTGAGAGGTTTTTGGTTCTTCATTTCACTTCTGCTGTAGTGGGTTAGGTCAAACATTTTCAAGGCCACGGTATTTTTGGAACAGGGAGAGAGTATGAAAGTAATAACTTCAGAATAAGCTTCAGCTTTATTTATTTTTTTCTTTTCCTTCCTATCGCATCCTCCATTCCTTAACCTATCATGTGACATGCCTAACATGACATCATTGTCTCTTAATTAATGACATCACCCTTCAGCAGCTCTGAAGAACTTACCACAGAGTCCAGCATGGCAGAGACAGAGACTGGGGCAAACATTGCAGCTCCCATGTTGCCGAGCTCTGTTGGTTCCTTCCTATCCTTGGTATCTTATAATTTTTCTTGTTTTTAAAGTAGTGTTGATAGCTTTGAATTTGAGTAGCAGGCCGCTAATGAGTTTAGTTACATACTAATTTTCCCAGGCCACAACTTCAGTAGCAAATGAGAATATTCTTCTCTTTTTCCTCCTCCATCTCCCTTCCCCATGGCTTTTCTAGTAATATCATTAATTAGTTTGCTTTTTTGTCATTGTTACTTTGATTCAGAAAGACAGAAGTCTGAATGGGGGAAGAAATCTGTAGGAATGACTCAAAGCCAGTTTGGTTCTTTTGGAAATAAAATTAAAGTCCAAAAGGTATATGGGTATAACTCAGATGTGAAGCGCTTTGACTTCTGTAAGAGAGGTGATGGCAGAAAGCCTGTGGGGTGGCTGTATGAACAGTATGACGTCTCACTTGATACTTAATTTCTCTTATTCTGGAAAATGAGTTTTCCATTTCAAGATGCTTTGCCTCAAGGTCCTGGAGCTGCCCCAGTGGTGACATGAATGTAGCGCCCTCTAGTGTTGGTAGAAGCTTACTGTATCAGTAGTAGCCACAACTAGTTCATGCCTAGTTAGTTTTAGGACTGGGCTCAGCAAGGCATTTGATGACCAGTTAGTCCAATTTCCCACCTTAATCCCTAAGGACACAAGATCCAAATATAGTGACTCACCAAAGGTTACCCAGCTAGTTAGTAGCAGAGTCTGAATCAGAGCAAAAAGACTCACAACTTGTAAATTTAGTGTTGTTTTTGCTGCCTCCCATAAAGATGTTTAACGTTTAGGCAGAGTTCATTAGACATTTGAAGTTGAGCATATCTGTCTGGACTCGTATAATGTCTAATTTAAATTCATTTCATAAATGTTGGGGCAACAGGAGTACCAGTTAGTCTAAAACTAGCTAAGTAAAAATTAGACTTTGGAGTTGAATATAATACTGACATCAACAGAAACACATTTTGCCAGGCCTTGTGCCATGGAGCTTAACAGTTGTGACTCCATCCCTGCCTTCCAGGAGCTTCTGTCTTTTAGGGTACAGATGGTTAATAGTCAATTACAATAACAATGCAAAGTACAGGGGGTGAATTATGAGTATAGAGGAGAATGCCTCCGAACACAGATAGTTGTAACAGTGCCCTGCAGTATGAAAAAAACAAAACCAAACTCACTGCCATTGAGTCAGTTCTGACTTATAGTGACTCCCATTGGGTTTCCAAGCCTGTAAATCTTTACAGAAGCAGACCACCCAGTCTTTCTTCTACAGAGTGGCTGGTGGGTTTGAGCCACCGACCTTTTGATTAGTAGCTAAATGCCTTAACCACTGCACCACCAGAGCTCTACCTTGTCCTTATTTTATTTTATTTTATTGTGCTTTGGGTGCAAATTTACAAAGCAAATTTGTTTTACAGTCAACAGTTCATGCCATTTGATTTCACGCCCCGATTACCATCCCCAATCATAAAAAACTCTCCTCCTCTCCCCTCCCTGTGACTACCCCTCTCTGTGCCCTTCTTAACTGTGCATTCCTGTCTGTCCAGCTTTCCCTCTATGTGAATGCTGCCCCTCTGCTGTCTCATGGCTGATTGCTTTAAGAGGTGCATCTCCCTAGACTAGGGGGGTGAATCACCTTGGCGTTTAAGTTCTGAATGTAGGTCTTTCTACTTTGGGCTGAGAGCCAATCCATGGGAGTGAGTCCACTTCTAGGCCCAAAGGCTAACCTGGGGCCATAGTCATGGGGGTTCTACCAGTCTTTATACGACCAGTAATTCTGGTCGGTACTGTGTTTTTGAACGTTTTTCTTCCCACTGTATCCAGGATCTCCAGTTTTGATCCCTTTCCGAGTGGTTGGCATTGGTAGCTGGGCACCATCTAGTTCTTCTGGCCTTGGGGTCCATCATATCCTTGGGCTATTTGTTTCCAGATGCCTTTGATTTCTTCACTCTTCTTTGCTTCAGATGAGAGGAGACCAATAGTTGCATCTTAGATGGCTGCTCGAAAGCTTTTAAGACCCCAGTTGCTACTCATCAAAGTAGGTTGTAGAATAGTTGGTATATAGTTAGTATAGTTTTCACTATTTTCCTCCTTAACTGTTAGCTCCAGAAAATAGCATCTTTTACCTCTTTTCAAGCAAGGGCACTAACTTTTCTTTGAGAATAATAGGTAAATTATGGGCTCCAGCAATTATTCCACATAACCAAAATATAAAAACCATATTTGGGAAACAGCTTTAGTCAGCTCATCTTTGGGAATTACCAAAAACAGGTGCTCAATCAGAACATGAGAACCCATGCCCAGAGATGGTGGGTGTGGTAGCTAAGTTGTGTGTCAACTTGGCTGAGCCTGGTTTTGAGAGTGGCTAGGCAGCTGGATGTAGTTAGTTCCCATGATGAGACTGGTAATCAGCTCCATGGTGGACTCTACTGGAGCAGCTGAGTAGCTGCCTTAGAGATGTGGTCTGCTTCCCGTATATAAGAAGTTTTGAGAAGGGTCTCTGAAGCTTTTTGGCATGCTTGGACCCTGCATGTAGCTGAGTCTTCATTCAGCAGCTTCCCATGCCCTGTCTGGGAGCTCTGGTAGCATAGTGCCTAAGGCACTTGACTGCTAACCAGAAGGCTGGTGGTTCAAACCCACCACCCACTCCTCGGAAGGAAGATCGGGCAATATATTTCCGTAGTGATAACTGCCTTGGCAACCCAAGGAGGGGTCACTATGAGTCAGGTCCGACTCGACGGCACATAACAACAACAACAACAACATGCCCTGTCTATCTTGGAACTTTTTCTGGACTTGAACCAGTGGCCTGCCATGTTGTTTAATAATTTTGAGACTGTGCCTTTTTATTTGTCAACCTTGGGTTTGCCAGCCTCAGCAGCCAGCACCTGCCTGAGTGAAGAAGAGCCTCCATCTTCAGTGGGCCGGGAGCAAGCGGCAGACCAGAAGCCCAAGGTTGAGGGGCTTTCACCCAGCCCCTAGAGTTTGCCACTTTGATCTTGGACTTCTAGCCTCCTACAATATAAGAGAATAAATCCCTGTTTTTGAACACCATCCCATTTGTGGTATCTTCTGTGCTAAAAGCACTAGAGAACCAAAACATCCCCTGAAACCCTTGACATAAAAATAGGATTCAGAAAATCAGTAGATTATATATAGTTTTTTATACCAAATAAAATTATGATGTTCTGAAAGAAAAAAAAAAATCAATTTCACTAACAAGATAGGAACTGACTCGGAGTAAACAGAAAGGTTAAATGCATTGGTTGGTAAGGAGCCCAAGCATATGTGTCTAGCATATTAATAGCTGCATAGGTCAAGGATCAGGAGTGCTGGTGATGGGAAGCAGCATTGGGAAGAAAGAATCAACTTCATCTACTATTCAAAGAAACAAAATGAGAAAGAAGTCATTGCTCATTGCTGTAAGAATTTAATGAGTAACCTCCAATTGCTATTCTACTCCATGAAGAGAATTGGTCCTTTTGGCTTGATGCAATATTATGTATTCTGGGGGCCTTAATAAGGAGAAAAAAAATCTCTAATGACTTGGGGGTGGATGTCACATTTTTCTTTCGTACAGCTCTTTTGAGAATTGTTGCAGCTGCAGTAGTCCAGTGTCTGGTAATTCCTAGGGAAAATAAGAATTTTATTACCCTTAAAAGGACTTTGAAAGAAGAACTGACAAGTAAAGATTCATTTTCCTGTGTCTTTCAAGCCAGAAAAGGAACAAAAATATTTAGTTATGGTAGTTTTTTTATGGAAACCTCACATGTAGCTCTGAAAGGAAGATATATGAGTGAAGACCCAGGCCAAATTAATAGGATAGTGTCCCGTCAGAGAGTTTCCATTTCCAATCTAAGAGATAGCAACAGAGATGCTGTTTGTATATCCGTAAGGCAGTGATAAACCTGTAACTGGAGAAATCATGCTGACCTAAAGACATACCACCAGGAAATAACTGCTCCCTTGCTAGCTAGAAGTAGAATGATCATTAACTGTCAGCTTCTGGAGAGAGAATGACAGTCCATTTGGGGGACTTATGACATG